TTTGGTATAACACCAAAAGAAGTAGAATACATGGAATTTATATTGTACCAATAATGAATTCGTTGGAGACATCAAATTGAGTGTGGCGTCAGGAATTCGTCCAACAGCAGGAAAAACAACTAGATCATCAATAACAGACTTTGGAATGTTAAGATGTGAGAATTGAGCAACCTCGGCATCTTTATGTACTTGAATACCTGCTTAGCTGTAAACTTCGTGTAAGATAAGACTCCAGAATCAAGCATTGGATATCTCAGTCATCTTCTTTAAGTGCTTGGCTGACGAATCAAACTCAACCCATAACAACGAAGCATAGTCAACACTCATACCATAATAGAGACTAGCCATAGCTGAATAGAATTGCAGAGTTGCTTTGTCGAGACCAAAACTCCTTCCAGTCAAACAACGAAGGGTGATTCCAAAGAAAAAATTCCATACCCCTAGAAGACTGGACTTCTTGAAGTTACTCACAAGTGAAATTGAAGGTTGATAAGCCATCTCATTGAACATTTGGAGTACCGGTTCATTCGAAGGAACCTCAAACTGACCTTATGACGACAATTTAAGAATTTGGGTGAATTGCTTCTTGTTCTTTTATGATTCCATATGGAATGTTATGATCTCCGTTGACTTGTTGTACATGGTCGTAGAACCAGCAAATAGTAACCACTTCATTGAAATGGCAAAGGAAGCAGTTGTGCGAGGCATGAATCATTTATATACTGAACTAGCATATGCAACTCTTCAGAGTAATCTTTGATCAATAGATTAAACCAGACATTATTGGATTGAACCTTCATGTTCTGCATGGAAACTTCGTCTTCAGTTGTATTGAATTGATCAACAACCGTGTTGGCAGTACACGTGGCGATTTGAAAGAGACTTTTTGAATTTGATTGCAAAGTAGGTTTATGGTTCTTGCGTAAATCCTGGGAATCAGAAAGATATAATTGTAACACTACACCTTCTTTTATAATCGACGTCAAATTCAAATTCAAACCACGAGCTAATAAATCAATACCACATGTAAAGTAACCAAACATTTAATAATCTTCTTATATAGGCAGACATTTCAATTAACCAAACAATTAATTAGCATAAGTTGAAAGGTAATAAGTTTCAAATAAATATGGTTCAAGATATATCATTTATATTGAACTATATTAATTTGGATTGTAAGAACCTGAAATTTGGAAAGATTTGAATTTTAGTCAAATATAGACCAAAAGGGCAAAATGGTCATTTATGAGAAATTAGAATATTTACGAAGTCGTGACTTCATGAAAATGGCCAAGATAGGTTTAAGTGACTGAGATGAGATTTGATGAGTAAGTTCAAGAGAAAGAATACATGAGAAGATGCATTTGGACCAAATGGGTAAAATGGGTATTTTTATGCCTTTTGGGTCAAGTTTGTGACTTAATGGATTAAGTCTCGTATCAAGTTAGTGAGAATTGACTTAAAAAAGTTGTAGCTTATATTCCTACCTTCGTGTGGATATAAAGGTTATAGAAAACGGGTTAGAAACGAAGAAGTTATGCGCATTAGAATTTGGAGGAAAAGTTATCCCCGAAGCTGGAATGGAATCAACTAAAGAACTACTGTCAAGAAGTTACCGTGGCACAGTGATCGCCATGACTCAGTTGAAGATGACGAGGATTCAGATGATATCTTCTTCGTAAGTAGAGGACAATGTACTTTTCCCCGCGGCGTGGTATATGGGTTCCCAGTTTGTAGAGAGGTCCCCACATATTCTAACCACATATTCTTCAAATGGTGAGGGAGGTGTGGAATCGGGTAGCTGTTTGGGTGGACATAGGTGTCCCTAAGTTTGATGACGATAAGGATATGACTTACTGGTTTGAGAGTCCTCCTCCTGCTCATACAGAACATGTGATATTGGATGCAATTTTCTCCATAGTCATTTGGATTCTTTGGACTTAGCGGAATGTGTTACTCATCTGTGAGTCCAAGTATTGGAAGCATTACATTTTCTATAACATTGTTACGTTTTCTTGCATTCCGTTTGTCTTTAGAAAAAAAGTGGAATGTATGGTTGCAAAGTTCAACTATGCCTTAACTATATATTGGTTTGTTGGTATCTAACTAGCTTCCGTTTTTCAATATATGTTCGCCTTTCCAAAAAAATATTTCTTATACATTGTTTGTTTGAAATAAAAAAAAAATTGTAGGCTTATAAAATGGTATTCAAACGGAGGGTGGAGTTACCATTGACATCGAGACATTGAGGTGGGGGGGTCTAAAATTTGGGCTTAATACAACTTCTTTAGTCGTTTGTTCCTTCGACCGATACAAATAAGCAGTGTTAGATTTCGGTTATTTCGGAGAGTTCACAATGAGTTGTACTAGAAGTTATTTGTCTCACACTTGATGTAGACAACCAATCTACAAGGTGAAACATATTCATCCTAGAAAAACTTAACATTATTGAGTGGAGAATTTTACATTTTAGAACAACTTAACATTTTTTATTGGAGAATTTTACTTGATTGGTTGCCAACCAGATTCAAAATTTCTAATCGGGGTGTTGATTTGATTTCAATTTGATTATGTGTCATACGTGTCATAATCAAGTTGAATCTATCTAGAGAAATTAAATATCCTTCTACTTTTCTTCCTACAAATCCTCCTACCCAGTGAAATAATGACATGTGACATATTTATATGCTAAAATATCATTAATTGAGCATTAAATGTTACACATGTCACTATTTAATTGGATAGGAAAATTTGTAGGAACAATAAGTAGGAGGATATTTAATTTCTCATCTATATATCATTTGATAGTTTTTTGTGAGGTGGTTGCTAGTTGCTAATACATGGTCATATATTGGTTATTATGTGGCAATTCCTACGACCACTAAATGGCTCTTTTGGGTGGATTCAATGAAATTGAATGCTGTGCAATGATCTTGTTTGAATGAGGTCATATTGGCATATTTTTGGGTGCTTTGAAATCTCAAAAACTAAATGATGTTTGGCTCTCTGTAATAACAAAAAGATACTATTTATGCTAGAATAGTTTATCAATCATTTTTTTGGCTTATGCATAAAAATCCAAACTAAAAGTTAGAGGTTCTAGTTATTAATTGTTTGTAACTAATATTTGAGTCCGCGCTTTACTGCGGGTTCTTACGTGTGTTTTGCTTGTGAGAAGCACCGTAAGTTACAATTTGTATCTACTTTTTTGCCACCATGCGTTGCAGCGGGTCCGATCTTTTTTATAATTGAATTTAGCAATTCTATTGATAAAATGTATGTACCGTTGTATTTGTTGGTAGAAAATAAGGTCGGTACCATTGTTAAACCGATTTTGCAGCGTGTATTTACAAAAATGTAGTTTTTCATGATAAAAGATGAAAAAAAGTTAAAGGACCGCAAATGGCAAGTAAAAAATAAAAAGGAGTATCTATTGTGAAGAAATGACAATAAGTTATGGATTATAAGGGTAAAAGGCGAAACAAAAGAAAGAAAAAGGCCTATAGGTCGGATGGTTTATGAATATAACATAAAAGTATAAGGGTTGTTTCTGTAATTCGGCGGCTTGTAGACTATGCATTCCACTAGGAGTGTTGATCGGGTAATAATTTTCGAGTTTCGGGTAATTCGGGTTTTTCATGTTAAAAAAATTACCCGTTACCCGACCAAAATTAAGTTCGGGTAATTCGGGTTTGGGTAATTCGGATAGTGGGTCGGGTTTGGGTAATTCGGGTATTACCCGAAATATATATATTTTTTGAATGACACCTGAAAATAAATTTAATGAAATAAATATGTTGTGCTCTATTATTCTTGTTTATATAAACAAACGAGGCATAAACAAAGTTACTCAAACTTTGAATATTGAGATTTTTTAGTCAATAATATTTGAGATATCAAGTAATCTTTTAACAGCTTAATCTAATATAATAAAATGTTAAAAAAACAAATAGTTAAAGATCTTAGTTTAAAATTTTAAAATGTTTAAGATAATTGTAGCCATAAGTTTTGTCATGTTCTGAAGTTTCGTCAAGATAATGAGTTTGTTAGTTGCAATAAAAACTATAATCTTGAAAACAATTAAGTTTTAAAGAACATGGTGACATATAAGCAAATGCTTCTAATATTGTTGGTGTCATACTTTCATAATAAAAGAGATTCATGTTTTACAATAATGATAGTTAGTTTAAGCGTGATCAAATACTTGCTACAGAGTACAAACTCTACGAAAGAAAAAAAGGAAATTTTAAAATAATCTGGGTAATTTGGGTATACCCGAAACCCAACAAACGTAACCAATACCCGACCTGAAAAAAAATCGGGTTACCCGAATACCCGAAAAAATTAACCCGATACCCGAAAAAATCGGACGGGTAATTCGGGTAACGGGTATTTTCGACAAGGCTACATTGCACTTTTAGCTACAGTAAATTTGTGAGGGACAATCTAAGTTCCAAATTGTATATATTTATAATTTGTATTTTTTTATATTTTATTTTATTATTATTTTTTTTCCAAGCAGGCTGAAACTCGTTTTTCAGTTAATACGATTTAGTTGTTCCAAAAAACCCGATTCCAATGTTATATTATTAAACTGCTATATAAGCGGCAATTCGAATAATACCAAATCGATTTAGTTCTTTTTTTTTTTTTTTTTTTCTAAACCGGTTCCGATCTTTATGATCTTAAGGTATTAATTTTGTTTTGACACGATTGATTAAATCTATCTTAAGTTAACGGAATAATTGGAGTGATTCATTTTTCTCATCGAATTCAAGTTTCAATGAGTTTTATGGACCTAACATACTACAAAAACTAAAACTGATTATGAAAAATTAAATTTATGGTTTAAACCGAGCCAACTCGGCCTATTTAGAAACTCAATTTAAAAGCATATTCTTTGGGAATGTGCTTCACTTTTTTTTAGCTTATTAACAAAAGGCATATACCAAAGCATAAAGGGGCAGTTGGGTATTTGTTATGAAGTTTGGCTGGCATATCACACCTTCCTTTGTTTCTATTTATTTCCAAAGGGAAAGATGATTGGCAATTGCTCTTCATATCGTACCCAAAACCTCATTCCATCTCACCTCAAGATTGAAGATTTCGATGTCAATTACTTTTGATGATTCATCGAGTAACTCTCAAATTCACAAACTTTTGCTTATGATGAGAAGTTCATACCTCAATCTGCATTTTACACATTCCAAATTCTCTCATATGTTCTTCATCGATGCTATTTAGACGCACCGATTGGTAACACTCTCTTCTCGTGCCATATATGCATATATGTATATTCATATAAAAAAAAGGTAAACCAAACACATCCTTTTTTTGTAAGGATGATATAATAGATGTATATCAATGAACCATATGGTTTTAATTAGAGGTGCACGAAAGAGACAAAAATCTATGCAAACCAATTCGGTTTGAGATCGAATCTTCTATTTAGTACTAGTTTGAAATATTATACATGTTTGTCAAACCGGTTTTCAAACCTTAGCAGAGACAAATTTTTATATAGTAAGAAAAATATCATTTCCATCCATTATAGTTTTAAATTGTTGCTGCTACAAGGTTTTTGAGGTTATTGAAGACCGCTTTTGACCTTTATATGATGTGAAACGCCCGAAAACACTTTTTAAAAATTCAAAAATAGAAAGATATCAACGATCCCGAATGACTAGAAAACAATTTAAATCATGCCGGTTATTAATCAATCATGTAAACTTTTGTTATCTTTCAAACTGAAACCAAATCTTACAAAAATGATGAAAACATAGGTTTTACCAGTTCTTTATAATCGAACTTTTTTGGCTCCAAACCGAATTTCTCCAAACCGGTTTTGTTTATTTAGAAAAATCTGAACCGATTTAGTTTAAAATATAAGATTTATGAGAAAATTACTAATCTAGCCATTCTATCTAATGACTTTTCACTTTTTAGCAAAAAATTAGAAATTAACTTATTTTAGCCACTGAAACCATATGTTTTTAGAGATACCTATGGTCAACGGTAGTTTGACTACTATTTTCATACTAATGGGCTACTGTTTTGTAGCCCGTCTATTTTTTCAAGGTCCATCAACCCACAATATATAAAGTTGTAAATTTTCATTTAGGTTATTTTTTGTGTGTTTCAAGTGAGGAAAAACTCTGTCAATGGAGACTCCTAACAACCATCATGCATATCTCTGATTCTTCGAATTTTTTTTCTTATTTAGTACAAGATCTACTACCGTGTGTTTGATTTTAGTTGGAAAAAAACGAAAAAAAGGAAACCAGACTTCATAAGAAACCTATGGTGTACAAGCAGGTAATGCACAGTTTGTGAATTGACCGTAGATTTCTTATGAAACCTACTATTCCTGAATTTTTTAATAGCTTTTACACTATGAAATATAATAGTATTGTGTTATTTTTTGTTTCAAAAAAACGAAAAATAAAAATAAAAATAAAGGTAACCATAGACTTCATATGAAATAGTAATCAACTAAAAAAAACACCAAACCGTAATTTAGTTCTTAAAACTGTAGGGTTCCACTAAACTATTCTTTGGGAAACCGTAGGTAGTTTACCTAAAGCATAACGTAGGTACTTTTCGTGACAAAAAATAAAAAAAAAGAATTATACAAAGCCCAGACACCGTAGGTTTCCACGAAATAGTAGTTATTTTTTTTAAAAACTACGTTTTTATATGATTACTTTTAGCTATTTGTAATTTTTTTTTAAAAACTACGTTTTTATATGATTACTTTTAGCTATTTGTAAAATTTTAGCTATTAAGTGAAAAATAATCGTACGGATAGATTACTTATTGTCTCAAGATTTATACACCTCTCATTCCTAACTTTAAAGAAATGAGAAAAGATAGTTTGCTTAATGAGCCCAAAGCATATTATGAAGCCTATTTAGGGTCTCAGCCCATAATATAAGATCCCACCGTCAACCCTAACGCCGTGAATTTAAACGGAATTCCCGCTCCCCACTTTTGCCGCACACTCGCTTCTCATTGGTTCTCGTAAAAAGCAATTAGCTTCGTGTATCCCGAGCCTAAGGTTCGGTTACGAACCTCCTCCTTAAGTCTACAGATTCTTATTCATCCTCTATTTCTCTTCACACACCCGAATTTTTTTCAAAAAGTCGCACATCCTCTCCTGATTTCCGGCGCTGAATCTACCTCAGATCCGGTAACTGTTTATCAAGACATGGCCGATAACGTCGCCGGTGAACACGAGAAGGAGGATTCATTCGTTGAATCTGTCAAGGATAAGATCTCCGAGACGTTTCACAAAGACGATTCTTCTTCGTCTTCGGATTCCGACAATGAAGGCAAGAAGAGTTCATCTGTGTCCGATGTAAAGGACAAGATTTATCGGCTCTTCGGGAGGGAGAAGCCTGTTCACAAGCTCTTAGGAGGCGGCAAACGTATGCACATTTTTACTTGCTATACTTACTGTTAACGTATTTACTGTTGTAGATCACTAAGCTTTATGTTCACGATTAGTAATCGTTTTCGTTTTACATGGATGAATAGTTTAGGTTGATTATGAACTGGATCTCTAATCTGATTAAGTAATCATAGGTTCGTCAGATTCGCATCGTATCTCCGATCTAGATCTGCAATGATTGTTTCCGATTTCATATCTGAAGCATCCGTTGACTCCATTGCTTGGCTATCATTTTACGTTAAATCTCTTTCGATCTATCGATTGTAGTATGTTAGTTACTTACACCGGAGTTTAATCATTCAAACATTAAGATCTTGATCTGTCTATGATGATCAGTTTCATAAAGATACGATACTTCGACTGATTTTCTTATATCAAATGACTTTACTGATGTACTACTCTTTTGTGTTGCTAGAACTGTTTGCTTATCATGTATTCAACTTTACAAAAACTAGATTAAGTTCCTAAAAGAAATTTGATAGTGTTCTTTCTCTTTCTTACACATTTCAAATTTCATCACAACAGCTGCTGATATCTTCCTCTGGAAGGACAAGAAGGTTTCTGCTGGTGTGCTCGGGTTTGCCACATTGATATGGGTGCTTTTTGAGTTGGTTGAATATCACTTACTTACACTAGTATGCCATACTCTAATCTTAGCTCTAGCAGTCCTTTTCCTGTGGTCCAATGCTGCAAGCTTCATCAACAAGTAATCAATCAATCAATCAATCTCCTTACTTTTTTTTTTGTTTTATTGTCTTGTACTCTAATCCATCTTTATCTTCCTTAACCTCTCATTTTCTTTCATGATTGTGACAAAAGGTCTCCACCAAAGTTCCCAGAAGTCAACCTCCCAGAAGATATTGTTCTTGGTGTCGCCTCTGCTCTCAGGGTTGAAATCAACAAAGCTTTTGAAGTCCTCCGATGCATTGCTTCAGGAAAAGACCTCAAGAAATTTCTTGGTGTATGCATTTATACCACAACTCCTTTTTTAAAAAAAAAAAAATATATCAATTGTTTATGACTGATGAGTTGATCTTTATTTCGTCAGGTGGTTGCTGGCTTGTGGGTTCTCTCAATTGTTGGAAGCTGCTGGAACTTCTTGACATTGTTCTACATATGTAAGAATATATTCATTTTTCAATATTGTGTTTTAGATTTCAAGTTTATTTTTTTGTTTCTAATTTTGTGAAGTATGAACACAGGCTTTGTTTTGCTGCACACATTGCCTTATCTTTATGATAAATATGAGGACAAAGTTGATGCTTTTGGTGAGAAAGCAGAGGCTGAGATTAAGAAGCAGTATGCAGTTTTCAGTGTGAAGGTTTTGAGCAAGATTCCAGTAGGAGCATTGAAGCACAAGTTTGCATGATCTCTTTCTCATCTCAGGTGACTACTACTAGATGTGTCTTTCTCACTCGTTTGTTGTGACTTGTGATATTTTTATAAACTAGAAGCTCAGTTTATTTATTTCATTGGTTATCTGATACGTTTGGGGTGAATCAATGATATAATTTAAACAAAATTCAGTAATATGATGTAATGAAGTTTTAGACATTTAAGTCCCCTTTACACTGTTGTTGGAGTTATTTCAAGCATATGAATGAAAGGGGATATAATTTTGTATTAGTCGAATTTGCTTGTCAACTTATGAATGTTCTTAAAATTTAGTTTAAAAGAAAGTGTTTGGTTGATAAAATGTAATAATATGATAAGTTGTTTTTATTGTATGATAGATTATGTTTATGCATGTAAAATGATAAAATATAGGGGTTAAAAGGTAATTTGTAAGCATGTTGGCATGAGAAAAAACAAAGATTGCGATTCACATGTTTTCTAGGGATAAAACATTTAAAAGTGTAATTACAATCTTTTATTTTATTTCATCAAAATACATTAAGTTGCTTATTAACCGTAAGAAATAGTACTAGTCAAACAATCCCAAATACCTCATCAAGGACTATTGGATGTGCAAGTTTTAGGTCTTAAAATGCCAAGGAGACTATTTAATTTTTATATAATAAAGGGAAAGCCTTATAAAAACCCAAAATATTTTCATAAAGTCTTAAAAAAAAGCACTATATTATTTATTTGTATGTTAAAACACTTATATTTTTTAAAATATATCATTTAAGACATCGAACTCAGTATATCCTAGATAGTCGAAAATGTTAGGTAATCGATTCTCAACGTTTTGATTATTACAATTCATTAGATTAAAAACTTTAAAAAAAGAATGAGGGTTTAAATGCACTAAAAAAATAACATAATGGTTTTTTTAATCATTTTATGAAAATATATTTGGTTTTTTTGAGATTAGAAAACCTTAAATAAGAATTTCCGAAAATATAAGGGTTTTAGTGTATTGAAAAATAATATAGTGGTTTTTTTTAATCATTTGATGAAAATGCGATGGGTTTTTCTTTCCCTATTATAAATATATGCATATGATTCAACTAAAAATATAATCAGTAGATTATAATTTTGCCCTTGTGTTTTTGTAATAGGTTTAGTACGCTTTTTTGTTTTTTCTAGGGTTTGTCATCCATATCTTTTTTTAATCACATGGTGTATCAAAATTTATAGATCGTTTAAGTTGTACTGGAAGCTTAGTGGTTTCGTTGCAAAATATTGTACTAGGTCATCAATAACTCATTAGTGATTACTTCTCACATCAAAGACTAGTGATTGAGTTGTAAAGTATTGGAAACGTGTTCTAGGTTGTTGCTTAGGCCTGTCGGTATACAACTAATGACACAGTGCATTTGTTGAAGTGACTGCAGTGTGAGGTGAACACTGCACCGACCCTCCAATTGCCATTGCGGTATGCCCATTTCACCAAAAGCCCTTACCACACCCTTTTTCTTTATTTTTGACCGTTGGGTGTGTGTGGTATGGTACCCACTATTTTTGTGGAGTGAATGGAAAAATGATGTGGCGATACGTGACATTGCAATAGTGTGGTGAGTGTGGTAATTGGTATGGTACCCTGTGGCCTTAAGAAAGCTATAAAAACACAATTGTAATATTTCTCATTCCGAACACTGAAAATAAAAAATATGGACGCACTTAGCAATGTAGACAATGCCGTCGAATCAACAAACGGAATATTTGAATAGACACATAAATTGATCTCAGAACATGGTTCAACAAATTTGCTTATACATTCATGGAATCATGGCCCAAGCAAGTCCCATTTCGACCCTTAAAAAGCATTCCACGATATATTCGTTGTACTACTGATCAAGGTAAACAAATTCATGCGTTCTTTACTATCGACTACAAATGTTATAGCCTCGATTGGTGTGGATGGACAAGTTCAAGTGCAGTTGAGTACTCATAGGTGATGAGTAATGTTGTAGAAACTTGTTGGTCGACTTTACTCTTCTCCAACTAAAGCCGCCATTGTTTATTGCGTCAATGCAAATATTGTCTAGCTTTCAACAAAATACATTCAATATCAACAAATCAAACACATTAGGATAATAGACATTCACTTTGTTCATGACAAAGTTATAGTGAACCATATTTGAGTACTACATATGTATCCTTGAGTTTCCATTATGCCTACCTACTTTGTTGTTTAACGAGTTTCATTTCACTTGAAACGTTTAGAATATTCTTTGTCAACAAATGCCTACCTTCTTGGACTTGTAAAAATTTGCAGACACAAACAACATAAACATAACTATGTTCTTAATTAAAATAGAACACCAAAACATAAGCTCATGATTATTATACATGGGGAACAAAAAACACTCGACCGAATTCATAAAAGAACACCAAAACACAGACCAACTTTATAATTTACCCTAAAATCCTAGATAATAAAACAAGAGTATCAACCCAGCTTACCCTAACTTAAACCAATAATCAAACCTTATAATTTACAACAAAACAAAAAATTACGACTTCAACAATTACCAATTGCTAATTTACATAATAACATCTCCATCTCCATTTTTTTAAAGAAAGTAACTTAGCTGCTCTTTCTTTCTTGAGCCTCCTTCCCCATACAATTCATTCCACTGTTTCAGCTCCCCCATCACACATCCCTCCCCCGCAAAACTCGCCGCCACCTGTCACCAAAAAAAGGTTATTTTAGACGTTTCACATTTTAATTTCATAAAAAAAACACACAACAGTTTTAAACTATTATATTACTTGATTCTTCGCCTGCCTCATATCTTCCATGTTCAGAGGTCTCAATGTAATAACACTTTCCTTTTCTTCTTTCGTGTCTTTGGCATCCGCTTCACCACTTCCCTTCTTGTCCTTTAAATTTACAAAATAAAAATACATTAAATTGAATAATAATATAATAAAAAAAAAAAAACCAAGTAAACAATGACTTACGATATCTTTTTGTCTCTCTTGTTGCATTAGCTCTCTTACGGGTCGATAAGCTGCTGTTACACACAAATTCTGTTTCAGTAGTTAATGCCAATAGCTTCTTCCCAATTTATATTTATCTAAAATAAAATAATAAATACATTCTACTCAATAAAAAAACAAACCTTGAGATCGCTTCCACTGTATCCTTCTGTCATGATTGCAAGCTCCTTAAACTCCAAATCTTCCACTTTTTCTTTTGTTAACAGAGTTTTCAAGATCGTTTCTCTGTTCTCCACCGATGGTAGACCCACCATAATTCTGTACATCCAAAATATATATATATATATATATATATATATATATATATATATATATATATAGGACCATTTTTGTAATTTACTCAAATTTCAAGGCAAATTGAAAAAAATTAAAAAACAATACCTGCGTTCAAATCGTCTAATAATAGCTTCATCAAGGTCAAATGGACGATTGGTGGCCGCAAGAACAAGAATCCGTTCACCGGTTTTAGTCAACAGCCCATCCCAATGCGACATAAACTCGTTTTTAATTTTCCTCATAGCCTCATGTTCCCCGACACGTGTCCGTTGCCCTAACATGCTATCCACCTCATCAACAAATATTATCGTCGGCGACACCTTTGCAGCGAGTGTGAACAACGCGCGCACGTTTTTCTCGTCTTCTCCGAACCATTTGGAAGTGATGGTGGACATGGAGACGTTGATGAAACTTGCTCCGGCTTCATTTGCGATTGCTTTTGCCAGCATGGTTTTTCCAGTGCCAGGTGGCCCAAAGAGAAGGATGCCACGACATGGTTTTAGAAGTCCACCGTTGAATAGATCTGGTCTTCGAAGAGGAAGCATCACGAGTTCTTGTAGTGATTCTTTTATTTCATCTAAAGCTCCGATGTCGGCGAACGTTACGCCGATTTCGTTGGCGGGAATTACCTCCGGCCGTATCCGCTTTTCGAATTCGTTGTCGGGAACTTCCTGGTGGTGGTGACGTGGATTAGACGGGAGAAGTTACTATTTCAAAGGGCTCCAACATTATTTTATTAATATATATATATATTTTTAGTGTAAAGTTTTAGTATATGCTATTTAAGTTGAAACATATTTTAGTATTAACTTTTGTGAAAAAAATAATGTAATTTATAGTGTTAAGTTGGGAGGTGGTTTAGCCTTTATATGCGTTTTATTCATATAATAATAGTTAATGGGGTTTTATTTTTGTAAACTTTAGATACTAATCGGATAAAGTAATATTATTTTATTATTATAATATTAATATATATATATATATATATATATATATATATATATATATATATTTTTTTTTTTTTAGTGTAAATTTTAACGTGTTGGTGATGAAAAAAGTTTAATTGTAACTTTTACACAAAAATATGTAATTTATAGTTAGAGTTGGCCTAATAATAAAAACTTGTCGACATAAAAATTAAACTTTATTTTATTAGAAAGACAAAATATACTCAAATTTATATATTTTTTTTGGGCAAATAGAGACCAATATTGGTATAATTATACATACAATTCCAAAATTAGTAATTTTGTATTAATTTTTAATTTGTTTTTATGTTTGGTTAATTTTGTTTTATAATGAAATAATGAGAGTGGGGTTTTGGATCACTACAAATATAGCCTTAGATTGGGATCTAGTCTTGATTTTGAATAGGAAATAAAATTACACCCAAAAAGGTGGAAGGTGGGAAAAGGGACTTAATATATTTTTGTAAAAAGACATATATACCCTTTCAATTCTCATCAACAAACATGGCCTTAAAAATAGTAAGAGACATGAGGTACCGGTTTTGGAGGAAGAGCTTTTTCTGCATCATTTTTGTTATCAGATTTTGATGCAACACTTTCTGGTCCCTACACCAATTATGAAATTCTTTTTTATACCAAAATAATCCATCATTCAGTCATGTGCTGATATGTACATTGTACAAAACAAACCTTTGATGACTCAGCATTTGTCTCAAGCTTTAAAGTATCTTTCCCACCACAATACCCCTCTTGAAAGATGCTCAATCCATGTGACAAGCTGCAAAACAAAACAAAACAAAACAAAAAAGAAAAAGAAAAGGTAAAGCTTCTTCATTAGTTTATTTTCTAGTAGCAATAATAATATTTATACTTTACCTGGTAGATGATATAACAAGCTTTCCATTTCTGTATTCTGGATCTTTATGAAGCATCAAATGATGAGAAATTGCAGAAATCACAATTTCTTGAATGTAATTACTGATAAACATTGTGTCTGCGTGACAAATTAAACCTAAATC